TGCAATGCTATTAGGGTCATCGAGAACGGAGTCCCTCAATGTTCAGTACTCGGACCAACCCTCTTTCTCTTGTTCGTTAATGAGTGTGCGCAGGAATTGGACTGTGAGTGTGCCATTTTTGTAGATAGTGAAAAAATATGGAAGGTCATCAAGAGTGCTGCCGATGAAAATAACTTCCAAGAAAATATTTGTCGATTAAACTATTGGTCACAAAGATTGCTCCTGTCCTTCAATTCGAATAAATGCACTCTGCTGCGTCTAGAAAATCGAAATCCGGACCTTGATGCGCGATCCCACTATTTGAACGGAATCCCACTCCAAGAAGCAGAAATACAGAAAGATCTCGGCATCTGGAAGGCAGACAACCTCAAACCTTCTACACAATGTTGTAAGGTTGCTAAAGCTGCAACCTCAATGTTGTACGCCATCAAGCGGACATTCACAGTTTTGATGAAGACTGTTTTTCGAAAATCTGACTGACTGACTGACTTTCCAAAAGTTTCTTTCCCAAATATCAGGTAAATATGGTTTGCAAAACAGCGAGTCCTCGAAGTACAGCATAATTTGGTCGCTTGATGTGGATCGATTCTTAAGGTTCATCAAAGTTTCTTTCCTTTGTGTAAAAATAAGATCAAGACAGTTCGACTATTGTCGAATACTGTTCCAAAGTTGATAATGTGGCAGGAATGTTTGTCTGTGGCACGCTGTAGCAATTAACTACCAAAATTATGTTGAGGCACCTGCGCAGTCCGTGTTTGCCAATAAACACCAGAAGCGTTAAAATGCCCAACGATAAGAATTTCTTTCTGTCCACTGGCCTTGCACATTTCCGCTATGAGGATAGTGTTTTCTCAGCGGTCTGATTTGGCCAACGATACGCGACGGAAAGCGTCAGTGCTCTGGCATATTTAGCAGACGTAGTGATGCTTAAATTTTCACATATCATGCTGGAATATGTACTTCAGCCATGGTGGTCAGCTTGCAAGTGACATAAACTAAAATGCGTCTTCCCGTATTTGGTCTGTCGCTCGTGAAAATCTGATAGCCTCAAAGTGATAATTCGGAATCGGTGTGATCTGTCGAAAATCAGGTTTCGTTGTCGGTTTCGTGTTGAAAACCAGGTTTTTAAGTTCGCCAAGCTTGCTGAACAAGCTTTGTACGTGTTTGGAGAGGAACTTCAGTTACCTTTTCAGCGATGAGGCCCAGCACTCATAGTGAAAAGTTTCGGACAGATGGAAGCCCCTGACTTGGACTGTTCGCGCGTTTTTCATTTTCAAGCACTTTTCCCCCTGCCAATTT